TTCTTTCACTCAGCATAATGCTTTTCAGATTGACCCAATGTTATTGTGTGTATTGGTAGTTTGTTTCCTTTTAATGCTTTGTAGTGCTCCAGTGTACAGACCTGTCCTGGTTTGTCCCCACTTTCTCTTGTTGGACATCTAGTGTTTAGCTCTTATGTTTAAAGCTACTGTCAGCATTCTTGAAAAAGGCCTGTGGTGGAAATAATGTTTTCATTTCTCTTGGATAAATACTTTGGAGAGGAATTGTTAGATCACAGGGTAGATGCAAGTTTAACTTTTTAAGAATCTGGCCCTTTTCCCAAAGTGGCTGTACCATTTTATACCTCACCAGCACTATAGGAGAGTTCTGGTTGCTCCACATCTTTGTCAACATTTGGTAGGGTCAGTCTTTCTTATTTACTCATTCTAGTGGCTATGAAGTGATATGTCTTTGTGTTTTAATTTGCATTTCTCTGATGACTAATGATATTGAGCATTTTGTTATGTGCTTATTCACCATTCATTCATATTCTTCAGTGAAGTGTTCAAAAGAACTCTTCTTTAGAAAGAGTTGCTTTATGTCAGGAAATATTTGGCCATTTATTTCTCTTACCTTTTTTTGTTTGTAGGTGTTTGTGTGTTCTATGGACATACACTTTTTTTTTAGGTGTATGCATGGTGAATATTTTCCCCTAATCTGGGACTTGCCTAGTTTTTAAGTAGTGTATTCGTCTTGACTTACCTGAGTTGCTTATTATAGTTGAAAGGCTCTTTCTGTGTCTAGTGGAAAATAAAACAATAATATTGTTGATTATTTTTCTTGGGTCTATGCTCAAGCTCTTTCCATTTTGTGGCCAACTGGGTCTTTATCAAGAGCTAGGAAAGTGCCCAAGGTGTTGTTTTCAGAACTCTTGATTTTCACATGACATGACTTCTTTTGAAAGAGTTGCTTTATGTCGGGGTATAAAGAGTTCTAGTTTCACTGAAAACGTCTGTTTTTTGGAAATGTCCTGTCATGTTTTTTGGAAATGTCCTGTCAGAAAACGGAAACTTCTGCAAAGTAATGGAAATTGGTTGGGTGATTACATTCCAAGGATTGAGGAAGCCAAGGAGTGGGAATTTACAAACCACAGCAAAATGTACCTGTTAGAATATTATTCTCACTTTATGTTACAAATCATGTGTGGTTCCATCTGCAACTGGCAGTCAGTGAGGAAGCCTTTTATGTCTTCTTGATCCACTTTTCCAAACCTTCTCCACTTTTCCAAACCTTCATGTCTTGTCCTATCTCAGTCTGAAACACACCCTTTTCCCTTGCACTCAATAAAAAGATGAGCAGTTTAGTTTAACGAATGGTTATTAAGTGCTTACTGAATGTCAGGCATTTAGCAAAAAAACATGGTCTCTGTCCATAAGGAATTAACAATCTAGACAAGACTTTTAACTCATATATGTAAATTTATTTAAATATGTATCCATCCTTTTTTGCTGTACTCTTGTGTTTGGAAAGGACCATCTCTTATTTTGTGTAAAGTTGGTTCTTCTACCTGCATTGAATCTTGCTGCCTTATATCTCTTTGGGTAGCTTTTCTTATCAACTTTTCTCTCTTTTCTCTAACAATAGTCACTTGTCCACTTTTTTTTTTCTTTTCTTTAGTACATAACTTTAGCATCCAGATCTGCATCAAGCTGCCTTATGGACCTTACTTAATTCTGTGTCTAGTTCAAGTAAATGCCAGTAAATGTATATATTTACTGTAGTGTCTCAGGAAAATGCCAAAGGGGTGGGATTGCCAGATAAAATACAGAACACCCAGTTAAATTTGAATTTCAGATAATGCTTTCTTTAGTGGAAATATGTGCTATACATAGTATAAATTTGTTCCCTATAGTATTTGGGATATACTTATACTGTAAAATTATTCATATAACTGGGCATTCTGTATTTTTACTTACTAAATTTGGCTACCGTATGAAGGGGGATGACATAATGCAAATGAAAATTCCAGAAGTCAACATTCTCCATCCCTTTCCATCTCCCGCAACATAGAGCAGATGCTCCTGAAGTCCTCCTTACCCTCTCTTCCATGCTAAACTCCCAGGAACAACTGACTCAGTCTAAACAGGATCTGCTTTGTCCAGATTCCACAGTAAATCTTTTACTTCTTTGTTTTGTACTCACATTCGCCCTTCACTTGTTATGTCCATTGAAACCACAGAACTGGTCCTGGCTCAACTGCTCTTTTAATCTCCTTCCTCTGGGAAGGTTGTAAATACTTACCATTCATTTTTTCTCTTGTTGGAATAGGCTAAAGTCACAGATAAAAAGTTCTGTAGCTTTTCTTCTTCTAGCATTCTTATGTCATGACTTCTCTTCGAGGGTGTGTTCTTTTTTAGTATGTTCTGCAATGCATTGCAGCTTAGATTCTTCCCTTAGAATACCATTAAGGCAACTTCCATCAAGATTACTTATGCCCTCTTGGTTGCCTCCAGGTTCTTTCTTGAAATTTTCCTTTAACTTCTGATGGAGGTCATCATCAAGATGGCCTGCCCAAGGTGAGGGAGTAGCTGGGGACCGAAATCCAGCATGTACTCTGCTTTCCAGCTCATGCTAACTGTCCTAGACCATGAGGTTCAATAAATAACACTCTTACTTCACCTGAGTCCTGAAAAATATTGAGAGAAAGTTGAAGATTTCGGACAGATGGAGAATAAAATACTTTTTACAGGTCAAGATAGGTTGAAAGACAGGATTAGATATGAGCCAGCAATAGATTCTAATTCTGGTATGCAGAATTAGACAGATGTACAGCCTTGTCATAGAAATTACTGGACCCTCAACGTGGGGCACTGCCCCAGGAAGAACCTGGGGCAGGAGGAAAAGACCAGAGTGTGCACTTCCTTTGGACAGCTAGCACCCCCATGAGGAAACTGGCAGCTTCTCCCCCAAACCCACCCACAGGCAATGTCATGGATTAGATGTGTTGGACACCTGTTGTGAGCCACTTTACGTGCTGTTGCCCCACTTCCTAATCTAGCTGCTAGTGAGCCTGTCAGTTCTGCACAGGCTTTGAATGCCTTTGTTCACTGCAACCTGAAAACACTTCTGTTCACATCTTGCTTCTAGCTCCAGGGCTTTTCTAATGCTTTGGTGTAGGATGGGCATGCTTGACATGTGTACAAGTACAACCTGAGTTCGTACCCATGAGGTCACCTTTGACCAATGGGGATGAAAGCTGGTAGATTCAATGCTTGCCTCATTTTTCCTCTACGTGGACAGTTCTGAGATATATTTTAGGAGGTCCATGGGATCAGGTACCCAATGGCTAACTCACTGTATTAGCTTTCCCTCTTTTCCAGTACCACTTCTTTCTCTTCTATTCCCTGAGATCATTTCCTTCATTAATTCCAGGCCTACAAGACTTTTTCTACTGCTCTGCTTTCAGAGAATCCAGACTGAGACACTAGGGAAGGAGGAGTGGATGAAAGAGTAAAGAGAGGCAAAGAGTGTTATGTTGATGGGTGTACTTCCACCTGGAAGGAAAAATCAAATGGTGTGTAAGAACTTCTTCTCTAGTGGGGAAAATAACAGGGTGTCCATCTAGACAAAGGATGAAAAAGATCTTTGATCAGTTCAATTCTTAGATAGCAAGAAAGCTAAAAAAACCAGTCTTTTTCTTACTGGATCTGAAAGGAGATGAAAACAAGCTGAAGATGTCGAGGATGAGCCCTAACCATGGATACGAGGCTTCCAAGCGATGGAAACCCCTAGTCAGAAGGAGCTCACATGGAAAACACTTGCTCTGAGCAAAAAAAAAAAAAAAGACTGGACAGATTTAAGACTCTTCTTAGTTCTGTGTGGTTAGTTGTTTACAACTGTTTTTATGAGAATCTTATGAGCATAGTGGATATTAGGGCCATAATTTTAAATCTACTTTCTCTGGTTCTTGTGTCTTTTATAAATGGTTGAGGTTTTTTTTTTTTTTTTAAGATTTCAGTTTTTAAGTGATCTCTACACCCATTGTGGGGCTCGAACTCACAACCCTGAGATCAAGAGTCTCATGCTCTTCCAACTGAGCCAGCCAGGTATCCCTAGAATGATTGAGTTTTGACTAAAGGAGAACATATTGAACACCTACAAGGTGCAGAAAAATCACTGGCCGTAAAGGACTTTCTGTTGTCATAAGTGCGGTGAAGTCCACCATCATAGTTTAAGTTTGGGCAGTGGTATCCCCCTGGGGAGGCTGGGCTGTGTATTACATGGGCAAGAATAGCCTCGGGGAAGTTAGGCTTGTCTCATAGTGCTGATTCTGGCTACTGCACAGCCCAAACATTTTTTGTCTCCAGCTTTGATGTCTACCCCTAATCTATAATTTTTCTTGCATGGTGCTGAATATACCTGTGAACTCACTCTAGGTAGGGGCAGCTTGTTGCTCCTACCAAGCTTTTAAACTAAAACCACAGAATAAGTCCCACTTGAGCTCATTGTTATTTCCTTTTTATGGGACAGGAATTACCTGCCTGCAAAGCTCCTCACAAAAAACATGTACTCCATGCAAGAGAGCTCAGAAAATCTTGGGATGAATGGGCCTCAGGCCAGGAAGCATCAGTCATGGCTAGAGTCTTTCTGTCACAGCTGGGATCTTTCCTTTTGTATCACCGTCTGCCATGCACACTGAAACAGCAATCTTTGGAATTTTGAATATGGTGCTGCTAACTTGAATGTGTCCCAGTTACTCTTTTTAGAAAGACAGCTTATTTTCTTGAATAGAGATTAGGCTTGTAAATGTGTCCTCATTAGCAAGGCAGAAGGAGGTTAAGAACCGGGTACTTCTCCAGAAAGCCCTGGCCATCCCGAGAGTCTCCTGGATGCAGAGCAGCTCTGGGTGGCCTTTAGAGGGACTTCCTTCTCAGGGCTGTCCTTTCTGCTAGGCGGATGTAGAGCTGAGTCACTAAGGACACAATGGAAAGGGAGGGGCAAAAAGTGAAGGCTTTATATTTCCTCTCCAGGGACACAGCTCTCATCTCACCTGCCAAATTGTACACTTCACCCTGGAAAGCAACAAAGGTAAAGAGAAGTATTTCTGTACTTCATTATTTCAGCTGTGCTTGCTGTCCTTGAGGAGCAGATAAGAGCAGTATAATACAGCAGCTGGGTAGGTGTGTAATGAGCCAAATGAGCGTGAAGATTATTCTTCGATTGAGTGTGGCTTTTGCTGATCTCTTGATGAATACATTAACATGTTTGTTAATACATTAACACTGATGGTGTGCGTTTTAAAAATCCTTGAGGCAGGCTGACTTAATTTTAAACCTCTGATTTGTTTAGCAAAATAGATCTCTGTTGATATTTTCTACTTTCTAATAACCCTTATTCAGAGCAGAGTACGTTACACATGGCTCTGGCCTCTTTGTGATGAAACTTTTCTTAGTTCCTTAGAGGATCTTAACTGCACTGGAGTGGCCTTATTAATAACTTGGTGTGTTGGGAAGAATGCCTTACAATGTTCTGTCCTCTTGCAATACTTTAGTGACAGTATCTCCTCTTAAGATATGTTTGTTCCTCACATTTCCTGAATAGTTCTTTTTTCTAGAGATCCTCCTTCTTAACCTAGAAGGGCTGCAGCCTTGGACATCCTTTTACTGTTTTTCTCCCATGATAGCTTCCAGATGACACATTCCTTTTTCTTGGGAGGGATTTTTCTCCATCTAAAAGCAGATAGAAAGGTACACTAAAAGAAATTTTCTGCCATTCCTTCCTTCTTTGGGAGCTCACTTCAAAGTCCTTCTGTGGGTCTGTGCGTCTGCAGTAGGATTCTGTGTGCCTTGGGACTTCTGTCTTTCATGGTGTCCTCTTTTCTGAAACCAACTGCATAATATTAATTGAACTAGAAACTGTAAAATATTTATACAGTTGATTTCTCTAATACATATCCATTGTTGGGTAATTGTGCAAGACATGGATGATTTCACAGGTAGGTTTTCCCTGCCTTCAAGGAGCGCTAAGTCTAGTGAAGAAGACTAACATATTCAGTGAATAAGAATCTGTAAATTCATCCATACATTTGTGTCTCAGTGTCTCACAGAGACAACTACTCAGATGTAGAGGAAACAGTCAATTAAGGTTACTGCATAAAATCCATTGAACACCAGATTAACGTGGATACTCTGTTGTGCTAACAGCCAGAAGGGTGAAATTTTGGAAAATGAATGATGATAGTAGCGCTCTTAAGAGCTAGGTGAATGATAGTGAAAACTCTGTTTTACAAATAAACGTGCCAAATACCAAAGTTCATGCATTAATTCGAATTATATACTCCCAATAGTTTTTGAGAAAAACTTAAACCTAAATCTTTTCTTCTTGCTGTGAATTAAATGCTTGAAGAGCTAGAAGATCTTATTGTGAAGTGAGGCAAATAATACTATACTTAATAACCATTAACTGTTAGAGTAAGCCTCTGAATGCCTTGTATCTTGGACAAAAATTTCTTAATTTTTCTGGTAAGATGTTATCCTTATAAGATAAGGATAATAATGATAATGCTATAAAAACAAAACCATTTTACCACAAATGAAAACTTCTCAGAATAGCATCCAGTGGCAAATGGAAAGAGCATGGATTTCAGAACAGATGGGCTTGGGTTCAGATCATGGCTTGCCCACTTACAGTGTGTGATTTCCCAAACCCTCACTGCCTTACCTGCAAAACGGGGGTAACACAGTCCATCCTGTAGGACTTAAATTCCAAATAATGTGTGCAGTGCTTGGCACATACACAAACCCTGTGATTCCTTTACAAAGAAACCTCAGGCAGGTGTGTAAAGGGCTGTGTATGAGGATGTTCATCATAGCTCTGTTGCTGATGGTGTGGAGGAGGAGGCCACTTGGGTGTCTGTCTCTGGGGAATGGATAGGCAAAATGTGAAAGCACAAAAACACAGTACTTACAAGTAACAGATGATGTTTCCAGAGAAACCTGGATGAGTCTTAAAAATGTAGTGCTCAGTGAAAAATAAATTATTTAATGTAAGATCATTGATGAAAATGAAAAAATGCCTAAAATAAGGAAACATATTTTTAAAGGACACATGTAAATAAAAGAATATGCTTTACAAATTATAAGTGTTGTCTGTGGGGATGGAGGAAAAAGGAAATGAATTGGGTTGAAGTCAATAAGCAAAGAAGAGAATTGTGGCCTAATGATGGCTGTGCTAAGGACCAAGGGGTATGATTACTTCAGTCCTCTATGCTTGTGGTTAAAAAAGAAGAAAGAAACAAACAGATTAATAATATAAGAGTGCATAGGCTGCCTGGGTGGCTCAGTTGGTTAAGCGTCTGCCTTCGGCTTAGGTCATGATTCCGGGGTCCTGGGATTGAGTCTCTCATCGGGCTCCCTGCTCAGCGGGAAGTCTGCTTCTCCCTCTGCCCCTCCCCCCTGCTCGTGCTCTCTCTCTCTCTCTCCCCCCCCCACCCTCTTGCAGTAATAAATTTAAAAAAATCTTTAAAAAATAAAATAAGAGTGCATTGCTCACATAGGTGGTCTCTCAGTATATCCCCACACTCTTTTCCTGGGTGCCTCCATAACTGCAAGGCTACTGTAACTCTCCTATGTAGGCAGGCTTTTTATAATGATGATATGACATAGATTTAAGAAGAATAAATTTACATTTACTTATAAATCTGAAATCTGAAATTGCATTCTAGAGCCTGACTCCATTAGCTAACTCCAGATACTGAAATGCAGACTGCAGTATGAAGAGCGTTTAAGGTTTGGAGATGCTTCATTACTGGACCAAAATTGGTTTCTTATTAAAGTAACTAAATAAAGAGCTTTCAAGGATGTTATTATTAGACCTGTTACAGAGAGCTCTATTAAAATTAACTTGAAGAACAGTGTCCTGTTAAAGGTATATGCTAATATTTTCATGAAATAAGATTAGCAAAACTTTTGTGTTATACCTTTAAAAAAACTGTCAGGAGCAAAGAAAAATACAGTCCAGGCTGGTTATAATATAACTGCTAGGCTCTATTATACTATGCTTGGGTGGTCTGATGAATGGAAATAGGTAGCACCTAGTTCTTAATGATTATTTTAGGACAACCAGTTTCAATTACAGGTGTGTGTCATCACCATTTTTTGCCATATAAATTTGGTGGGCCATTATTTTGAAAGTCCACAAGTGACATGTTTCCTTTCAGTCTCTCTCTGCCTGAGAAGTGCTGAGCTGTGCTCTCTGCTCCCTTCCCCAGATCTGAGGCCTTCACTCTAGGTTTGGCTTTGTTCAGCTCGTAAGGCACAAAGCACTATGTTTTAGTGACAGGTGTGACACTAATGCCTAAATCAGTAGCCCAACAGAGTCACACCCCTGAGAACACACTTCCAGTGAGCTCAGCTCAGATATGAACTGTCTGAAAACAAGGCAAGTTAGTAACTAAAATAAATATACCCGGGTGGAGATAATAGACTGGCTATCTGTCATAATAGCCTAGAGAATATAGGCCCAGACTTGGTTTCTACAAGAGTGCACAGCTGTAATCTAGAAGACGAGAGAAAGAGGAACGAAGTAGTTCCAGATAGCTGGGGGACTAAATGAGGGAAAAGATGTAGCTGGGCCAGAAATGTGTGAATGTGAGGTAGGTGGGCTAATTGGTTCTAGCGGATAAGGGTGTATAAAGAAATCTCTAAAGTAAGTCGGGATGCTTTTAGCTGCAAGTAATAGAAGACTCAGTCAAAACGAGCTAAAGTATAAGGAAACATCATCTTACATGACAAGAAATCCCAAGGTAGGACAGATCCAGGTTGGGTTAATCTGTCTACTCAGTTCTGTCCACCTTTCCTCTCTGACATCTGGCTTATCCTCTTGGGCTGGCTACATCACAGTCACTCAATGGCTGTCATGACAGTAGTCACATGAAGACAAAACAGCTGAGAGGAAGAAGAGGGCAGGCTTCCCCCTGTGAGTCTTTTATCAAAGGGAGCCCTCTTCTAGAAGCCCTGGAGTGACTTTTTGTCCTTTTCAGCAAAGATCATGGCACCTTCAGATCTTTAAAATTCTATTTATTTCCCCCAAAACTTGATTGAGGAATAATCGACAAATATAATATCATATATTTAAAGGGTACAGTGTGATGATTTCATATACATAAACATTGTGGAATGTTTCCCAAGATCACATCCATCACCTCATATAGTTAACTGGTTTTTGTTTTTTTTTTTCCCTGTGGTGAAAATGCTTAAGATCTAATCTCAGCAACTTTGAACCACACATTATTATTAACTGTAGTCACCATGCTGTACATTAGAATTTCAGAACTTCTTCTTATAACTCAAAAGTCTGTACCTAATTCGTCACTGATGTGGGATAATTACCTCAGTTGGCTTAAGCCAATCAAGGCTTGCTCTTGGGGCATGGGGAGCTTGAAGCCTTCTCTGAAGTACATGGCTAAGTGAAAGCTGCTTCACGACATCTGTGTTTTCTTAGCAAAGAAGAAGGGAAGGGCCGAACGGCAGGCAATCAGTTTTTTTTACTGTGCCATTTGGGGAGAATCTGAAGGTAGAAAAGTGTTCTCCTATGAGGCTGTGAAGGTGGGCAGTCTAGTGAGACAGCATTTCATTTGGCTGAGCTCGTATAACTCAAGAATTTTTCTTTTTTTTTTAACATTTTATTTATTTATCTGAGAGAGAGAGAGAGAGTGAGCACTAGTCGGGGGCAGAGGCAGAGGGAGAGGGAGAAGCAGGTTCCCCGCTGAGCAGGGAGTTTGATGAGGGGCTCAGTCCCAGGACTCCAAGATCATGACCTGAGCCAAAGGCAGATGCTTAACCAGCTGAGCCACCCAGGTGCCCGAGCTCGAGAATTTTTCTATACAAATTTCAGGATGGAGGGGCGGGTCTTATGGCATGGACAGTAAGAGCACAAAAACCCAATTCCTTCTGCCCTTTTGCTGCAGAACAATTTTAAATGTACACAAATGATAGTGAGACAGCTTTGAGCTACTGGTTGAAAGAAACAGAATCTTCTCTTCATTAGGATCTGCAACTACTGGGAATTCCCACCTCTATCATTTACAGATTTCTCAAAAACTATGAATATGTAATTTTTCATGAAACAGTGTGCCCAGTCTCTTAAATTCATGAAATGAAATAAATGAACTCTATAGATTATCTGTATTTCCAAGTGATATTCTGAGATTTTTCCCCCCATCTGTTCTCAGATAGTGCTGGGCATAAAATGGATTCTCTCAGCACAGCAAACGTTGAATTTTGCCTTGATGTGTTCAAAGAGCTGAACAGTAACAACGCAGGAGATAACATCTTCTTTTCACCACTGAGCCTGCTCTATGCTCTAAGTATGGTCCTCCTTGGTGCCAGAGGAAACAGTGCAGAGCAGATGGAAAAGGTATGGAACACAGCAAAGATTTCTCCATAGCCTAGAGGTCTTCCGTGCACCCCTGTGGGTCAGCCAAATGCTCACATCTTTATACCAAGGGAATTCTGCCATCTTGTGAAAGAAGAAACATTTGGGAAAATCATATTTCTTAAAAATGAATGATGGCTTAAATAATGCAATAATAATAATGCAAATATCATAATACATGTAACACAGTCTCTTCCTTCCCATCAGTGCTCTCACGCATACGTTTTTGCAGTGTACTTTTAGAGTTCACTTTTTCAATGATTTAAATATGACAGAGAACACACGTGTGGTACTGTTCTTGCCCTCTGGAATTGTAACTTAAAATAAACCTTAATGACACTTTAAAAGCTATCAAGTTTTTTAAAAATATTCATTAGTACATTTGAAGTTCATAAGAGCCCTATATAGCAGGTAGGGATTGTTATCCCCATTTAACAGATGCGGAAACTGAGAGAAACTAAGAGAAAAGGGGTGACCTTTCAGGTTACATAGGCTGATATACAGTGATTTTTTTCATTATATGTATTTTTAATTGCTATGGAAAGTCTAGATGAACATCACTTAACAACTCCTAGAATACTTACATATTGTATTATTGTTTGCCTTTTATTTGTTTACTCCATATTTTGATGCACTTTCATGATTTTCTTGCTCTCAAAACAGGTATTGTATTGGGACACCATGTAATGTATGACAGATGGGCACTGTCATAGTGGAATGACCTGAGAATGGTAGGAGGGGGCAGAAGAGCCTCGTGGACAAGAGCTCCGTCCCTGGACACTGACAGATGGTTGTCAGGGAATATCTCTCTTGAGCTCATTTTCCCAAGCATGAAATGGGGGTAATACTGTCTACTTATAAAGCTGTTGAGAGGGTTCAGTAAGATATGTGAAGGCTTAGTTCAGTACTAAGAATATGACATCACTAAATGTTAGCTATTTTTGTTGGTCTTTATCTGAAATGGAAAAACAGATGCTTATAAATAGTCACTTTTATGGACTGTATGTTGCTTTTGATGCCAGTAGATCCCTCTTTTTCTTTCCTAGGTGCTTCACTTTAATCATTTTGCAGAGTCATTAAAACCAGAGTTCAAGGACTCAGCTAAGGTATGATAATATCATTGCTGAGTTGTCAAATGTTCTTTAACATAAGAGCACAAGAAATTATAGTGCAGGGGTTGAGTAACAGAGCCTCTCTTTGGCCCTTTAGGGAGTTAACAGTGTCTCCCTTGATCTATTCTTTTGGTCTTCCCAATAATCGCTACAGCCTATAGAGTTAACATAATGATAATAATGATGATAAAGCGCCTCAGATTTTATCATACCATTTATTGTCATTCTTGCTCAAACTTTCTGTTCTTTTATGGACTGCACCATAAATCTCAATATGGGATTGAGTCTGCCAGCCTTATCTGTGGAGTGGTAGATTTTTTCAGTGGGGGCACTGAGAAAGGACCCTGATGCTTTGCCTTATAATTAGATCCCAGATAAACAAGGCCTGATGTTGCCCAGCCCACATTGCCTGGGACCATGGTCCCTGCGCTTTTCTAGTAGGAGAATCCCTTTTGACATAAAAATTATATAGAATTCACACATGAAGGTGGTTGTGTTTGATCGTGATTGATTGAGAAAACATATAAATGCATATAGGTTCACAGAATACTTGCTTCACAGAACTCCACTTGTTGTGAGGAGTTGAAAGCTTGTAGTTTGGGAAACTTTGCTTTAGGGAATGTAGGTATACCCCTATAATGTCCTTGAGTTCAGATGCATCAAGGCTGTAGGTCTAACAGAATTGCTCTTGTGATGGGTGAGTAAGGTCAGTTCAGTGAAGTGCTGAAGTGTTTGGTTACATGTCACACAGAAAACTGAGACATTGAAAGTAGTGTGGTAGAGAGGAGAGATGATTCTATAGGTACGCCGTAGTACAGGGATAGCAACAAAACTTGGATCATTGCCCTGAAGACCCCACTAGGATCTCTTTACGAAAACTTGTGCTTTTGGTCTAACCCACTGGGGCCAGCAAGTGCTTATGTGTTTTGCAACAGCTTACAATTCTGCACACAATCTGTGAGTAAGGTCACAGAGTGCTGAGATTATTGTGCTAGAGGAAATCTACAGAAGGAACATGATTTAAACTCTCCAGCTCCTTGTTTGTTAATATTCTCTACCCTTTTATTCAGAGGCAATCATCCTGCTCTCTGCTTACTGTTTTCACATTATTTATAACCCTCTGGTGGCAAGAAATCAAGCAACTTAATGCTCCACTCTTTGTTTACTGATGCTTCAGTGCAGCCAAGCTGGAAAGATTCATTCAGAGTTTGGAGTCTTATTCTCTCAAATCAACCAGCCAGACTCTAACTATACCCTCAGCATGGCCAACAGACTCTACGGGACAAAGACAATGGTGTTCCATCAGGTACGTTCATATGGAATGCTGGTCCACAGCTCTCTTGGCATCCTGTAAATATCACACCATAAAATAAGTGAAGAGCGAGAAGAGCCACATGACATTCATCTTTAAGAGATTAAGTTTGAGCTGACTTGAGTTTCAGTGAAATGGTTCTACCAAATTCCCATTTAAAGTTGTGAAATATCACATAAAAATTTTATTTCTGCAAAAATCACCAAAGTTGTCCAAGAATCAAGGTCAGGGATGAAGCACAAACACACATACACACACACACATACACACACACACACACCAAGGTCAGGGATGAAGCACAAACACACACACACACACATATCAAGGTCAGGGATGAAGCACAAACCCACATACACACACACACACACACACACACGCACACACACACACACACCATGGGGAGACCTAGCTCTCCGTTAGACCTCAAACAAGCAAAATGTACCACTCTGGTCCTTACTTATGTAATCGCCCTAGATCTCAGTTTTCCAATCTAGAACATAGGGCAGCAATTCCCATTTGTCTACTTTGAGAGGACAGAGTAGTGAGAGTGAACTGCAACTTGCCATTTTGCTTTGAGTGTTTTAGAATGAAGAATTCCAATGATATGATAGAAGAAACAACCAAACATTTCTGAACATTCCTTTTGGAAAGCTTTTTGATTTGTTTAAATCCATTTGTTTTATTAAGAATAAGTACATATGGATTCTGTTTCCTTGCAGACGTATATACATGAGCTGCTTTTGTCTCTGTGTTGTAGATTTTAGAACACATAGAGCTTAGCTTTTGCTTCCCTTACACTATTTTTTGTGTGTGATTGTCCTTTCTTTTACAGCAATATTTAACTTGTTCTGAGAAACTGTATCAAGCCACACCACAAACTGTTGATTTTGAATGGTCTCCAGAAGAAACGAGGAAAACTATTAATGCTTGGGTTGAAAGTAAAACTAATGGTAAGAATAAGTCCCACATGTGTCTCCAAACTTTATTCGCACTGTTTTGATAAGCTCCCTGAGTCAATGCTAACAAGGAATCTGGTTGAAGTCCAGGACCCAACATAGGCAGGTCAAGAATGGAGGAAATGGGGGAGTATTTGGGAATATTTGTAAATATCCTTTACAGTCATTTATCCTGGTTGGGAGCTAAAGCTCAGTGACTCTGAGAATGAGAAGAACACTATTTCTACTTTACAGAAGTGTTGTACCTTCTGCAATTAAATTTAATTAATTTTAAATCTACCTTTCATGATTTTAAAATAAACTTTCTAATTGTCAAATATTTCTTTGTAATTGCAGGTTAAATGTGTAGATTTAAAGATGTATCCATTTCATTATTTAAAAACATCTAGTTAAGGAAAGATTTAAAGAAAAACAAGTGGAGAGAATACTATAGTGAATCCTTATTGACTCATCACTCAGCTGCAGGATTTATTATCTAAAGCTATTTTCCCTTGCCCTTTTCCCCCTAACTCTTCCAGGACAAATCCCAGAAATCATCTTTTTTTTCAGGTTGTTTCCTCTCAAAAATATGTTATTTAAAATAAAATACCACTGCATCATTATTATATCTATAAATTTAAAAATAATCATTTAATATTAACAAATAGGCAGTGAGTTTTTGTACTTCCTCAATTGTCTCTTTTTTTGTTTGAATCAGGACCCAAATAATTATACATTGCAGTTGGTCAGTATGTTTCTTACATCTTGATTTTTATTTTTATTTTTTTAATTTTTTTTAAAGATTTTACTTATTTATTTGACAGATAGAGAGACAGCACAAGTAGGCAGAGTGGCAGGCAGAGGGAGA